TTAGGTTTTATATGTTATCTGGTATGAATTAGTAGGTTAGCTTTTGGGTCTGGGCATGATCAAAACTGTCTCTGACATAAATTAACGGTAATTATTTCTTCACTATATGCCATTTTGGCTTATGAAAGGTTTCACAGGAACACTCTACTTTCTGAAAGTGGGGCAAACTTACAATAGATAATTTTACTTTACTTAGGAAGAAATAGTGCTGCTATAACAGAAATATCACAAGTGGATGGTTTTACTAATAGGAATTTATTCTCCTACAGTTTAGGAGGTTAGAAGTCTGAGTGCAGGCTACCACCTCTAGGGGCTGGGTGAAGTCTCCTCAACCTTGGGCTTCAGCTCCGCCTCCTGTTCCAGGCCCACTAGAGCTGGAGGCTTTTTCTGACTCATGCAGCTGCTGGATGCTGAGGCTGACAGACTCAGGGTCGGCAAGTAGAACAGCACAATCCCAAGATCAACAAGCACATGGAGGCCACTGGTTCAAGTCCAAGAACAATCCCAAAACTGGCAAGCAACACAGTAGACCACTGATTCAAGTTCAAGAACTGTGTATGAAGACAGCCAAATGCATGATCTAAAATGTGCCCACAAGAGGCCTTTCTCAAAACTCCTCCACACGTACTAGAAGCTGACTGCACCCCAAAGCTAACTACCTAGCTGCTCAAAGCGGATTTTACCATGAAGGGGTTACAACCTCATCATGGGGAATACTTACATCTAGCTGCCCAGCCACCCAAAACCATAGCCCAGCCAAGCTGACATACAACCTTACCTATTACATTTGGTATGAATTGGTAGGTTAGTTTTTGGGTCTGGGATCACAGGAGAAGCTCATATTAGATATATTTTCTTCACCTGAGGAAGAATTGACCAATTGTTTTCAATCTAAACTAATCCCTGAAATTAAAACTATATAATTTTCATTTAATTCTTAGATATTTTCCACCTGAACTCTTGTTGTTGTTGTTGTTGTTATTTGCCATCGAGTCAGCCCCGACTCATAGTGACCCCTCCTTGGGTTTCCAAGGCAGTATCACTACGGAAGTAGGATTGCCCAACCTTCCTTCCGAGGAGTGGCTGGTGGGTTTGAACCGCCAGCCTTCTGGTTAACAGTCAAGTGCCTTAGGCAGTATGCTACCAGAGCTCCTTAGAGTTAAGCTATTTGGGTATCTCTCAAGTATTTCTACCTTCTTGTTTATCACTATTATACTATTGAACTTGGCTTCCTCCAACTATCCAAACATCTATGCTGTCATCTCTTGTATCATTTAAGCTACTGGGATCAATTTCATAGGTGCTTATAATTATGCTTTTCTCTTATAACTTTCCTTTATCAATCAATTAATCAATTAAAACAATTCAGGACCTTCTGTAGTACATCACATAAATGTTGGGAGTAGGGGTAAAGGCTGGAGCTAGAAGTGTTGGTACACAAAAAAACTGTAAAGACACAATTTGTACCTATAAAATATTTACAGGCTAATCAAGAAGATGAAATACATGAAGCTATTAGTAACAAGTCACATTAACAAGGTGGTAGCAGGGAAATGTTACTAGGAGGGTAAGAAATGCCAGATGAATGAAATGGAATGTCTGTTGTACACAGATTAAGGATGACTTAGAAACTACAATTAAAAATGTTAGGAATAAGTCAGATGCAGAAGAGTGTATGACATCCAAGCAAAGGGTTCAAAGGCTGGCCCTATCTTTTAAAAATATGTTAGAGAGATATGCAAAATATGGCTGCATAATAAATGTTAAGAACCAATTAATGCTTCTTGAGCCAAACAATAGATAGTCCCACAGAGTGACTAATAACACCAGGGAAGAATGTACTCCTCAGTACAATCAACCATTCGAGCCCAAAAAGGCAGCATTTGCCAAAAAACAAAGCTCACAAGGCAGGGATGGGCAGGAAAAAGGCAGATGGAAACAGGGAATCCAGAGGAAGAATGATGTAACACTGAGGGGATTGCAACCAACGCCATGAAACAAAACGTGTATAAATTGCTGAATGGAAAACTAATTTCCTCTGTAAACTTTCACCCAGATTACAATAAAAGTTAAAAAAAAAAAAAAAGCAGAAGAACTAATCACTATTCCCTCCAAGGAATCAAATTATATAAAAACATTTGGAAGTTAATGTTATAAAGTTATATATATTAAGTCAAATCACACCTACTGAAACACAGATCCTGTAAACCAGCATAAGAGAGAGAGATTTATATAAGTATATTAGAGGCAGCAAATTTGACCACATCAATAGTTCATTTAGGTCTCTAACATGGGCACCAAGCAAATTTTTAAAGTAAAAACCAACCAACCCGTTGCCATTAAGTCGATTCAACTCACGGCTACATGGCTACCCAGTGGTCAAGAGAGGAGAACTGTTCCACAGGGTTTTCTTGGCTGCAATCTTAATGAAAGCAGACTGTCAAGCCTTTCTTAACACAGTGCTGCTGGATGGGTTCAAACTGCCAACCTTTAAGTTAGCAGTGAAGTGTAAAATGTTTATGCAATCTATCCACCTACACTATGGTGTATTTACTCTTAGAATTCAATTTCTAAAGATTAGGAATATGCTCTGAACCTGTATTACATTTAACTTTTAAGAAATACTTACATATTTTCCTAAATCCTTATGTTTATGTTGTGGTGCCTTATGTGGTAGTAAAGCTAATATACTCACTACCTACTTGCCCGTTAGCAAATGACTCAAAGTTTCTGGCATTACTTGGAAAGACAGCATCTTGGATTAGTGAATTTTTTGTATCATAAAATAATTCTGTGTACCTGGACACAAAATTAAAATGGAGAATAATTCTGAATTGGTCTCTAGGCCTCTCTATAACATTTCATCCTAAGGGGATAACCTTCTTGAAATCTTTTCAGGACGTTTAAGAACACAGTATAGCTCTCTGTGGCCCATTCTTAAACTCGGAATTCCTTACTCTAGTAATTGAATGATCAAGTGTCTTCTTCCCTTCAATCATCCCTGCACCTATCATTGATACCTCCCTTCTGCCTAAGTATGTTCACTGATTCAGAATGCTCATGAAGTCTAGTGTTTTCAACTTATAAATCAATAGACTCTTCATGTAATGTAACACAACACTCTGAAAACATGCTGAGCAGGTCATACTATTACTCAATTCATCACATTTCATCTTTTTGGCATGGTATCAAACAGTCCACATTGAAAAAAAAAAAGAACAAATTTAAAAGGAGTGAATTTGTCAAGGGCTAGTTATATAGAAGTTCTCCATTATTATACATATATCTATGTATGTACACAAATATATACATATTATATATATAGATATATATATTGTTGTTGTTGTTGTTTGCCATCGAGTCGGCCCCGACTCATAGCGACCCCTCCTTGGGTTTCCGAGGCAGTATCACTACGGAAGTAGGATTGCCCAACCTTCCTTCCGAGGAGTGGCTGGTGGGTTTGAACCGCCTGCCTTCTGGTTAGCGGTCAAGTGCCTTAGACACTATGCTACCAGAGCTCCCAGATATATAATATATGTATATATATAAATATCAAAGAATGTGAAAGCATAATTGTTTTGTTTAAAATTCAGATGCAATCTTTTAATATTCTCAATAGAGTCCTTTGATAGTGAATCAAAATAAAATCCTGCCTCTGCTTGTATTAAACATGTACTAGTGCATCAAATACTTAAGTATTCAGAAAGAGGGAGATATGGAAAACAAGAAAACACCATTCTTTTATCATTCTAATTCTCTTTTGTCTTAGCCTGTGTTCTCTAGAGAAGTAAAACAAGAGAAAGGATGGGTGGGGGGAGAGACAGACAGACAGACAGACATTGATTTATCATAAGGAAATGGTTCACACAGTTGTAGAGATTACCAAGGCCCAAGTCTGTGGTTCAGGTGTCAGGTTGGAGGCTTATCCTGACTTATGTAGCTGCAGAGGCTAACAAACCCAAGATTAGCAGGTAAGATGTCAGGCTGCTGGTACACTGTCTGCAGAGGCTGCCAAATCCTGAGATTGGCAGGTAAGAATACAAGCTGATGGCTCAAGTCCCAAGAACCAGAGGTCAGATGATGACAAGTTGGATGCAGATTCCAGAGCAAGCAAAACCAGTGAGCTTTGCCAGAATGTCCATACATATTACATGCAGGCCACAACCCTAAGGAAACTCCCCTTACAAATTACAGTCTGATCACATCATGAAGGTTATTATTATATTACACCACAAAATGGAGGATTACATAACTGTCAAATTATATCATTATATAACTGCCAAACTATATTATTACATAACCGCCAAACCATGGCCTAGCCAAGATGGCACATAACCTTAACCATAACACACATAAAAGAGCCCCAGTGGTATAATGGTTAAGTGCAAGGCTGCCAAATGAAAGGTTGGCAGTTCAAACCCACCAGCTGCTCCACGGGAGAAAAGAGCTAGAGATTTCCTCCTGTAAAGATTACCAAAACTCACTGTCATTGCATCGATTCTGACTCTTAGTAATAACCCTATAGGACAGAGTAGAACTGCCCTATAGAGTTTCCAAGGCTGGAAATCTTTATGAAAGCAGATTACCACATATTTCTTCTATGGAACAGCTGGTAGCTTGAACCATCAACCTTATGGTTAGCAGGTGAGTGCTTTAACCATCACACCAAAGGGCTCCTCCATAAAGATTACAGCTTACACAACCTCATGAGACAGTTCTACTCTGTCACTATTAGCTGGAATCAACTCAACAGCACATAAAAACAACAACACAACATTTCATAGGGATTACAGAAACAATAAGAAGGCCTATAAAATGATCAGAAGACCACATGGCATTTTTAGAATGACATACAGGTAGAATAAGAAAGGGACAGCAGCAAGATTTTCTAATATATTAGTAGAGGTAAAAAATCAGAGTAGTATTTTTAGTGATGACTTTTGGATTTATCAAAAGAGGTCCCTCCCACATAATTAATGCTCCCAACGGTAAAAACGTACCTAATTTTATTTTCAGTGTCTTCACTATCTGAATCTTCAGAGCTTCTGTACTTATCAGGATCTGGAAGTGTGCTGGGATCAAATCCTTCATCATCATCATCATCATCACTCCAATCCAGAAAGGCTTCCTCTTCATCTCTGGCCTAAGAATACACAAATAAAATTGTGTTTTAAGAAGTCAGCTAATGAGTAACGAGGTCTTATTTCTAGGCCAAATATACAGCCCTCTAATAGGGATCCTCAAATTAGAAGGCTTCTATTCTGGTAAAATCCTCTAAGTGACTTTCAAAACTACACAACCATTTGCAAAAAGAAAGAAAAATCTATGTCATTTCAAAAATGAAATGAAATAAAATGTGATTCAGAAAGTAAATCACTATTAAGTCCCTTAAACTCAATACAGGGAAAGATTGCCAATTTTAATACTCTCGTGTAATTCAAAGAAATAAAATATAAAACAAATTTGTCTTAGTGTTCCCATCCACACACACATAAGCTTCAAAACTACCAAAATTACTACCTGAAAATATAGAACGCCTGAAGAGAGAGTGTAGTAACATTTGTTTGATTATTTTATCACCACATAAGTCTAAGTCTTAGAAAGCCATCAGCTTTCTACAAGCTCATATATAAGAAGGGTTTAAATGCAAGTAGGAAGACTGGGAAAAAGAAAGGAACACTGAAGGGAAGAAAGAGTGATAAAGGGAAGGGAGTGCACAGAAGACATTGGGATTGATACAATTTCATGCAAACAAGTAGGTAGGAGTTGTTTTTTGGTGGTTAATTTATTTATTTACTTTTGTCAGAACACCCAATAATGTAGTGTTAAAATAAACTTACTATACATTTATTCAGTGAACATCCCTATAACAAATTCATTTCAGGTACATCAGTTATGTCACCTAGTAGATAAGAAACTCTACGTATTTAATAGACTATCATTAACGAGATTGAGAAAAATAAATCTAGATGAATTTCTTAGTTATCACCTTTTCAATTCTTCTTCTCACACCATGTGAGCTAAACTTCAATGACTCTTTGATTTCAAATGTTTAATGCTCTTTTCCAGAAACTGAATAATAACTGAGTATAACACAGAAATTGACTGTGCAGACCACAATAGAAGTCCCCTAACACCTTTTGAACAGCTCTCCTTTGATAATATCTGAACATGGCAAAGGGAGGAAGAAGTAGAGAAAACACAGATTAGTCCCTTATTATTTTCTTAGTAAAGCTCTCTGGTGAAAATAAAAGGCCTAGAAAAAGTATCAAAGTGGGGAAGGGGGTGCTGCCATTCGAAGCATTAAGAAATGCACTTGACAGCATATGTGTCATCTGGTTGAAAATAATCAAAGATAACATATATTTAAGAACACAAATCTTCTGGGCTACAAGAGATTTCCAATTTTCCAGTGTAATGTTCTCAAATGAATCTGCTGTCTGAGTTTGTTTCTCAAATTTTTGGATCTCAGGGTATCTTCACATTCTTAAAAATCATGGAGTACACTGAAGAGCTTTTGCTTATATGGATTTTATCTATTTACATTTACTGTATTAGAAATTAAAATGAAAAAAATTTTGAAAAAACATGTAAAACATTTATTAACTCAATAAAAATCACAATAAGAAACTCAATATATATGAAAAGAAATAGCATAATTTTATAGAAAATAGCTATAGTTATAAAACAAAAGGACACTGTTTTATATATTTGCAAGTCTCTTTAATGACTGGCTTAGTAGAAGATAGCTGGATTCTCAGATCTGCTTCTGCACTGAATCCATTGAAATATGTTTTTCTGGGTAAAGTCTATGAAGAAAATCTCAGAGATAAGTAGTTGGGAAAGAAAAGGATTAACTCAACAGCCTTTTCAGATAGTTGCAGTTTTCCTCCATTGATACTGTAAAAGAAGCTGCAATATGGAATTTGAAGCTGTAATATAAAAAGGCAGTCCCTACCTAACCTATGAATTATTCAAGTTATGACAAACTGCACTTAGAAACATTTTTTTGGGGGGGTACATTTTACTGTTAGTATATCTTCCTGGGAGGAAGTTGTGGGAAAATGTATGCAGTAGATAAGGAAAGAATTGCTGAGTTATGTGAATACACTCCAAGCATTGATCAGGATAATATATGGAAGAGAGTGGTGGTAAAATTGTCCATATGGCAAGAATGCTTGATTTAGAACTAGCTACCGCCCATGTGGAACAGCTCATAGATTATAAAGAAGGGGAATCAACAGATCAGGACTTAAGGGATTTTGAAGAGTAAGTTATTTAGCGCTGCTGAAGCAGAAATATCACAAATAATATCCTTTAACAAATGGATTATATTCTCCTAATTTAGGAGGCTTGTTGTTGTTGTTGTTATGTGCCGTGGAGTCAGCCCTGACTCATAGCGACCCCTCCTTGGGTTTCCGAGGCAGTATCACTACGGAAGTAGGATTGCCCAACCTTCCTTCCGAGGAGTGGCTGGTGGGTTTGAACCGCCAGCCTTCTGGTTAGCAGTCAAATGCCTTAGCCACTATGCTACCAAATTCAGGGTTCTGGCTCTAGTGGAAGGAAGAACTTTCTGTCTCTGTTGGCTCTGGAGGAAGGTCCTTGTCTCTTTTAGCTCCCGTCCCTGGGCAATTTTCATGTAGCTTGGCATCTCTCTTCCCCCAAATCTATTCTGCTCAATTGTTTAATCTTTTATATATCTCAAGAGACACTGATTCATGATACACTAATCCTACCTCATTAACATAACAAAGACAACCATTCCCAAATCGGATTATAAACATAAAACCGAAAACCAAACCAAACTCACCGCTGTTGAGTCAGTCCCAACTCACAGCAACACTTCCTTGGCTTTCCAAGGTGGCATCTCTACAGAAGTAGATTGCCCAATCTTCCCTCCAAGGAGTGGCTGGTGGGTTTGAACTGCTAGCCTTCTGGTTAGCAGTCAAATGCCTTAGGTAATACTAGAATTTATAACACATATTTTTGGGGCCATAATGCAATTCATAACATTCCACCCTTTAGCCCTCAAAAATCCATGTCCTTGCCACATATAAAACACATTCACTCCACATCATCACAAAAGTCTTATCAACTCCAAGTTCCAAATCTCATCTTCTTAATCATTCTAAATCAGTATGAGTGAGACTTTAGGCATATTCCAACCTGAGGCAAAGTTCCTCTTCATCTGTGAATCTGTGAAATCTAAACCACAAGTTATCTGTTTCCAAAGCACAATGGTGGGACAGGCACGAGGTACACATTTCCACTACCAAAGAGAGAAATTGGAGGGAAAGAAGGGCTAACAGGCACCCAGCAAGTGCCAAAGCTAGCAGAAAATTTACATTAGCTACCAAGGCTTGAAAATAATCTTCTGTTCTTTGAGACCATCTAGACAATGACCCTGCCCTCTAGACTCTGGGTTTTGGCCATGCCCCTCTGTATTCTAGGTGGAGGCCTCCTGGCCTTCGGTTTCAATTCCATTTTCCAGGCTCACTGGGATAAACTCTGCTCCCTCAGCTTTGAGTAGCCCCATTCTCCTAGGTAATGAGATTATAGATCCTGGCTATCATTATGCTTCTTTCTCTATATTTCAGGTTGAAAGTTGTGAACACTTTCTCTGACTAATCTCTCCCCAATCTCCCTCTATCCTTCCTGGCCCACTCAAAACAAAACAAATACCCATTACCATCACACATACCCATGTACCTCTCTGTAATGCCTTCAAGAAAAAAAAAAAAAAAGTAGTTCATACACATAAAGAGATCCAGGTCACATCTATGAACTGGATGTTCCTGATACATAGTTTCAAAACTTCTGAGGAAAATATTTCACCTAAAATAGGAATGGCTTTTCCTAAAACAGTTATTTGGAGCACTCAATTATAAGTAGGACAGTTGAAAATATTCAAAAAGAAATTATGTTACCCAACTAGCTTTTATTTTGTTTTTGGCTTTGATGATGGAAAGAAATATAGGTAAGAACTGGCATTTTCCTATAACAAATTTATGAAGTGCTTTGATATACATTATTTTACTTGATCTTAAAATCCTATGAAGAAAAAAAAGAACTACTGTTATTTTCAAAATTAAGAAACTACGATTTAGATGACTATGTAACTTAAACAAGGCCACACAAACCTGGACCTACCCTAGGCCTCCAACAACACTGTGCATCTGTCACTTTTACCATTCATGCTTTGGATTTGCAGCTTGTACACTATTTCCTCAGAATCAAGCATATTCTTTATAAGCGGGTGCTATGCTACCTTGTCCACCAGCCTCTCCTCGGAAGGAAGGTTGGGCAATCTACTTCCATAGTGATACTGCCTCGGAAACCCAAGGAGGGGTCGCTATGAGTCAGGTCCGACTTGATGGCACATAACAACAACAACATGCTACCTTGTATGTCTCCACCTCTACTTGAGAATTAGTTAGCATGGGTTTGAATCCTGGCTATATACCACTTTCTATTAGGGTGACCATGGACCAGATACTTACCTCTCTGCTGTTCAGCTACCTCACCTGCAAAAGGGGGATAGCAATAGCACTAGATTCAGAGCATTACTTTGAGGATGAAATACTATAGGCAAAGCTCTTGGCAGAGTGCCCTGCACGTAGTGAGAACTCAAAATATGATGCTGTTGTTCTTAAGTGCTATCAAGTCGCTTCCAGCTCACAGTGACCTTATGTACAAAAGGATAAAATGCTTCCTGGTCCTGCACCAACCTCACAATTGCTGCTGAGTTTGAGCCCACTGTTGCAGCTATTTTGTCAATGCACTTCATTGAGGGTCTTCCTCTTTTGCACTTCAATGACCCTCTACTTTAACCAAGAACAAAGTATGATAGGTAATAATGAGCTGTTCATTTTAATTTCCTCAGAATTTAGAAAAGTACACGATAAATGTCTGTTATCTGACATTAAACATAAATCGCACAGAAAGTGCAAAGAAATATTTAATTTCTTAGAAACTTGATACTTGATTTTCTTTAAAATTTTCCTGATTTATTTGTTGCTTTCGACATACTTGTTGGTCAGTTAGTGATTATTAGTGAGAAAAATCAATTCAACGTCTAAATACAGAGAATTATCCCTATTACCTTCCCATATACTAGACAGCATTCACAAAAATAAACAAAAT